AGTTGTTGCTGCTGCTGTAGCTGTTGCTGCTGCTGCTGTTGCTGAGGCTGTTGCTGCTGCTGCTGTTGCTGAGGCTGTTGCTGCTGCTGCTGTTGCTGAGACTGTTGCTGCTGCTGCAGCTATCGCTGCTGCTGCTGTTAAGGCTGCTGCTGCTAAAGCTGTTGCTGCTGCTGCTAGAGAGTCTTTGCAATGCCCAAAAATCGCTTAGGGTGCTGCAGTCACCTGCATCCCTGCTGCTGCAGTTGCTGCTGCTGCTGCTGCTGCTGCTGCTCCACTGGCTACCAGCACCACTTGCGTGTCTGTTTGCGAGAGAGGATGAGGTGCTGCTGCTGCTGGTATTGCTGCTGCTGTTGCTGCGGCCTCTGGCGCTTCTGCTGCTATTGCTGCTGTTGCTGCTGCTGCTGAAATGCCGCAGCAGCAGCTGCTGCTGGGGGGGGAAGTGCTGCTGCTGCTGCAGTCGGACGAGCTGCCGCGCTGCTGCTGCTGCAGCACGGCTCGGCAGCATCTCCGCTTTGGCTGCAGTCACATTTGCTGCTGCTGCTGTATGCTGTTGCTGCTGCTGCAGCTTTAAATCTTTTGCCTTATGCTGCAGCAGCAGGCAGGCTCCCTGTGCGCTACTTGCTGCTGTTGCTGCACCTGCTGGAGCTGCTGCTGCTGCTGGACTTACTGCTGCTGCTAGCGCTTCTTCTGCTGCTGCGTCTGCTGCTGCAGCTCTTATGTGCCTCTGCTGCGGCCCAAGTGAGCTGCTGCAAGAGTTGTTCCTTCTGCAGCTGCTGCTGCTGCTGCTGCTGGCGTTGTTGTTGTTGCTGCTGCTGTTGCTGTTGTTGCTGCTATCCTTGCTGCTGCAGCTACACCATCTGTTTCATTTCACTTTCACTCACTTGATTTGCTGCTGCCGACTGCCGCATGCAGCCCCACTCATGCAGCAGCAGCAGCAGCAGCAGCACCTAGCGCAGCTTTTGCTGCAGTTCAATGAAAAATTAGCTCTAACATCGTTTTCCTGAAGTGCAGTATCTTCTCAGCGCAACGGAGAGCAGCAACTGCTGCTGCTGCTGCTGCTGCTGTGTGTCATTTGGCTGCCCGCAGCAGCACAGCGCCTGCAGCAGCAGCAGCAGCAAACGACTCCAATGCACATATATTGAGAGATAATGCTGTTTTAAGGCTGTGTGGTGCTGCAGCGGCTGCT